TATCGTAATTTAAATTTGTTGCAACCGCAGAAACACATTTCTGTTGGCCAGGCAGGCAAATCGAATCAATCAACGATTGATCATTGCACATGCCAGCAAAAGACAATCAAAACCATTATCGCAAAAAATGCGAGAAAAGCGAAAAAAAAAAAAACAGCGAAAAAAGAAAAAGATTAATGAACAGAAAATGTAAGAAAATTGTACATTAAATTGGACGCACACACATGGACTTTCACTTTCACGCAGAAAAGCCGCACCACAAGAAAAGCGTTTCTCTAAGGGAAAACTCCTGGGATATACGCGTACGCGTACGCAATGGAAAACGCATTGACACGCGGGTGCCTGTTTATCGTTGTCCCTGGCAATTGTTTTAATTGAATTAATTGTTTATCAGAAATGGAGGAGGTTTCGCCCGTCAAGTTCGTTGCCATGACAGCGGCCTAGCGGGTGGGTGGATTGTTGGTTAGCCTATGTTTCATTTATTTTGACCTCATTGTCGGCCAGAAGCCGAAACGGAGTCAATGCACATGCCCCCTTTTTGTATTTGACCCAGTTCCAAATACTTTTCACGCTCATATTTACTTCAAAACCGAACCCCACACGCATTTCAGGGTCACTCACTAAAAGTATTTTCGTTTCATTTTATTTTTTTGCAATATTTTGTCCCTCTCCTGATGTCGTCAGATATTTAAACTATTTCTGGTTTTCGAGCATTTAAAATATGCTTTTCCTTTTGTTGTTTTTTTCAAGTGTATCTAAATCTTGTTTGTATCTTTTTTTATATGCGTCTATATGTCTGCTTAATGTTAATTAATGTCTAGCTGGGGACTCTACGTTACGTTCCACGCAAACATATTTTTTAGAGACTCACATTTTTTAGCTCAATATTTATTTGGGTAAAAAGAAAAGAGAGAATTCTTTTGCAAGAATTACTAAAGAAATTCCTGAAAATTTCACAGAATGAAGAACTTGAAGACTTGCTTAATTTAAAGAGATTATAAATTCAAATAAAGATGAATTATTGGGAACTTTTTAAAATGTTTTTTCGATCAATGTAATGAGAGATGCGGATAATTTTAAAACCATAATACCAGAATATAATCAAAAAATCCTACATAGAATATTAAAATTCACATTGAAATTCACTTCCAAAATTGGCGAAATGTTTTAAATAGCATTATATTGCTCTGCTATATGTAAAAGAAAAAACCTTTCCCAAAAATGTTTCCCAAAGATCATTAACCCTCTCAACATTTAAACGAATTTTTACAGAAATAATCATCTACGGATTGCCATTAATCTATGTGAAAGTCTCATTAAAGCAGACTGAATTGTTTCACTGTCTGGGCCAAATAATTTTTCATAATTTAATGAGACAAAAATTACGAGAAATCTCATAAAAAGACCCTGATATTATATAGCTATTGAGTGTACTCGTACGTGTTTCCTCCGAACCCGAACAACCTGTCACTTTTTAACACTTGCTCTCCCATGTCGCCAAAATAACAAATTGTATTCTTTTCGATTGTTATTTTTGGGGATTTTCTGTGAGAGAAAAAATATATATTTGCGTTGACGGAAGTGCGCGTGTCGGCGCGACGCCATTTAAGCCAAAAAAAAAAATATGCTATATGGCTATATAATGTGTATAAAAAAAGTGGAGAGAGAAAAAATGTACAAATGCATTAATATTTCATTGGCGTTTGGAACGCGCAAAATGGGTGACGCCCTCCAGTCGCGGTATTTGGCAAAGTTCGATGTTGAAACCTGACTTGAATATCGAATGAATTTGGCGGCACTTGATTTCCCTATATAGCAAATTACAATATCTTCCCAAACAGTAGCCACAGCTACACTGTCTGTGTATCTGTGTATCTATAGGGAATAAATAAACCAGTCGGCCATCAACTAAATGCCTCGGCCCTGTGGCCTGCATAAACAATTTGACGTCAATCCGATTGAATATAAAGGTCTGCCTCTAGAGGCAGAGAATCGGCCAAAAATCCAAATGAAGCTAATGTTTTTTATTTGTTTTTCTCTTGGGAATAAATCAAAAAGCTATTAGAAATGGTCTGGAAAAGATGCAAAGATGCGTTGCCACATAAATAAAAATTTTATTTTTCTGAATGGGTTTCTTTTAGATTTTACTTATGGGTTAAGGCTCTGCCTCTCTGTAGATTGAGTCTTTACACAAAGAGTGATACAACCCCTGGGTGGAAGTGTAGGAAAAACACTCAAAAGAAATGCAGTGCCAAAGGGCGGCTTTTGGCAAACAAAAGCAAAATGCTTGCTTGTGGCATGCAACATTGAAAAATAAATAGGCAGAGAGAGCACAAGAATATTTAGCCGGTGACCCTTAAAAAGCAATATTTGACATTTGTGCTCAAAAGATACATTTTATGAGTGCGGCAAAAAGCAAAAAAAAAAAAAAAACAACTAGAGGACAAAAGCTATGAGAAATGACAGGAATTGGGTAGAGATCTTATGTGGAAGTAAGACGATTTTTTTGAAAGAGTTCTGGCAGATATTGAGAGAGAAAAGTTGGAGTTTCCGGTGAAATAAAGTGAAAGAAAGAACAAATACTTCTCTGAAACCAATAAAAGCAAGTAATGTCTTGTCTCTACCAGAAAACATATAGTTCCACGTATGACTGAATTCCAATTCAAATACCAACAATTTCTCATAAGTTTTTTTGACATTTTCAATGCTTCTAGAATGATATACTGCACTCTGCATTTTCATCAACCAACTCATCAGCAGCATAAAAACTTCCAAACGAAATGATTTAAAGGCATTCCCTGCAGTCATATTTGAAGCCAACAAATGATTTTAGTTGAACTTATTTTTGGTGGGAGGCCTTAATTGCCGACAAGATGATCCAAATTTAGAGATAGAGAGGAAAACTATTGGAAAATCACACACACACACACACACACACCTAGTTGGGTAGATAGATGTGGCTGGCAAATAGATACAAAATGCGTAAAAGATTCTAAGCAAATGGAATAGATACAGATACAAAAACTGATTCATAATGAAAGCGGCACAGCCACACCTCTCTTTTGGGGGAAATCTATACAGTGTATATCGCTCTCTGTGTGTACTGATGTAATCTTGAACAGAAAAACGGATGTTTACATAGTCAAGCACCGCTGGTACTTACACTTATGGCGCGTACAGTTGGGCATTTATATGCTGATGTGGATGTGGAGCTGCTTTTATCATTCCAGAACTAAAAGTTAGTCGCTCTTCGGTTGCGATTTCTACCTTTCTTTTGTGGCTTTTGTTTAGGCCGCTCACGTTGTCACAGAAACACACGACGACGACGACCACGACGACGCGCAAAGAGGAGCGACAGGGGGGTGTGTTAAGGTGTGGACGGTTGACCAGCGGAGTGGGTTAAGGTATAGGGTTGGGGGATTGGGATAGGACCCAAAGTATGTTAGAAAGTAAAACGCGCGAAACAACAGAAACTATTGATTACTGCGGCACAAAACACAACACTCTCCCACACGTCGCGACGTACAGGGCGGGGGGCACCCACTCGCGGCGTACAAGGGGGAAGGAACCGTAAAACCTCTCAAGAGCCCGCCGTCACCGGTTGAAGTTATCCCAGAGTTGGAAGTCGACTTTTTCTGTTGGTGTTGTGACAGGTCCCGCCGCCGACGCTGTTTGCACGTTTCGTAGACAATCCAATTAGCGATACGAGAGACCCACACCAGACAGACCGAAGATAAAACCGTTTAAATCAGTTTAAATATTACTTCCTTTCTATGATATTTCCCCAAAAAAGAAGGCACAAAATATATATGAAAAAATCCACCAAACGGGCGCGCAGGAAACGGGCAACGAGAACACCCCGGACGACGGGAGACGAGGCGATGATAGCGAGGCGCACGGGAAGACAACTAAAGCAAAACTGAACGGAAAGACCAATCCGTAACGGAATCACAACCAAATAGCCAAAGAAAAATGGGAGCTTTTCCACTCAGAACACACAGAAAACACTCGGGGGGCGAGGGAAAAGCGCAAAGGAAAATGCTATTTTTGCCCAACAGAAAAAACCGACTCAAAGCAGATGAAAATTTGTAGAGGAATTGAAAGAGTTAAAGAGGAAGGGTGCCTGGCATGGCGCGCCGGCGTCCCTCAGAATGAAAGTGAAAACTGTGTGTGTGTTGCGGGCGGGAAAAATCTTGGAAAATTAACTTGTGACGTGGGGCGCACACTCACCTTGACATTCGACAGCTGGGAAATCTATGCCGGGCATCAACAGCTGTTTAGATAGCATCCAAGTCCTTTCCATTGAAATATCCTTCCAAAATGATCCAACTCGAACAATTTCCATATCCAAAATTTCCTTCGATTTGTAATAATTTCCCCACACTTTTTACATATTCACTTTACACACACACACAAACAACACCGCAGCGATAAACAGTTGCATTTACCGGTTGACAAAAAATGGGCGGGGGGGAACCGAAAACCACGTTTTGTTGTTGCCGCAAAAAATCGTATGTGCCGCCAGGCAAAACTTAAAGCGAAAAACTTACCTATAAATGGCTGATTAATTGAACCCTGAGCACCTAGTAAACCCTACACTAAAACACTTAATTACATCATTTGAATTATTAATAACTATAACACACACACACACTCATGGCACGAGGGTTAACAAATTGGCGCGCCGCAAATTGTTCCAATGGGAATTTCGTTTGGTTTCGGATTGAAAGTGGACCGCACGCCGCGTAAAATCTGCAACGGCTGATCTGCATAGGCACAATTATATACTATATATTAAATCGATGTTGTTTTGGACCAGTATTTATTTAATTAAACGAATTAAACATAAGAACTTCCGATTTGTTTGTTTGGGCAGCTTTAGTGTTGTGTAAATTGCCGGTCAAACATATGACACACATAGTGCGGTGTTGTATACCAGCTAAAAACAGCGCGATACTATCAAAATATAACGACATATCGATGACATTGATCTATCGCACAATTGTAAAGTCTATATCGATGGCAGCCCTGGGTAAAACGCATTTTGGGTAAAACGTGAGAATTTATTTGAATTTTCCAGCAAAGAACACAGCGAATATAAGCCAAAAATGGCCCGTTCTGAGGTGGAGACCAAACCGAAGCCCAAGGGCAAGAAGCGCAAGCACGAGAAAGCCGCTGCTGCTTCAAACAACAGCAGCGACGACGAGGTGGCCAACAAAAGTTTGATCGTGGAGCCAGACGAACAGGCAGCGCCAACAGCAGGTATGTGGCCCATTCTATACCAGAACAACTTGTATTTACTTTACAAATCTATTCAGGCAAGCGAAAACTTAAGGAAGATGCAGCCTTGGTCAAGCAAAAGCGCATTAAAAAGTCAGAAGTAGACGGCGAAGAGGAGGAGATTAGTCCCCGAAAGGCAGCCAAACGCAAGCAGCGCGAGGAGCTGGCTGCCATCAAAGAGAAACGCAGCAAGGCAACAGAGGGTGACGATGCTGAGGAAAACGAGGAGAGCCTGCCCACAGATGCACAACTGCAAGAGGCCTCGAAGCCGGAGAATACCAAAGCCATTGTCACCGTGCGCCAGAAGAAGAAACAGAAGCATCAGCAGCGTCTCGAGGCCCAAAAGGATCAGAGCTCCAACAAGGAGGCCAAACGCAATGAGGAGTACCTGCTGCAGTGGAAGAACTCCCGGGCGGAGTGGAAATTCGTGAAGCTACGCCAGATATCCATACAGCAGACGGCCTTCGACGAGGAGAAGCTGTCCGGTGAGCTTTGGGACATAGCCCTGGAGTATTTGGCCAGCAGCCAGGGTGCAGCGCGTGCCAAGATCAGCAAACTGGCCGAAGAGATCATCGAAAAGCTGGACAAAGAGGGCGAAAAGCTGGAGGACGAAACGGAACGCCAGAAACTGATCGAATCCACACGCTATCAGCGTGCCCGTGATCTACTGCAGAGCTTCGATTGACGCGCGCTACCAATACCAACTATTGTTAATGTTTTTCTATAGAGTTTAATAATAATAATAAAAAAAAAGTCTCTTTCTACAAGTCCACGTAGGCCAAGAGCTTGTCCAGTTGATCCACGCGCTGCTGCAGCAGCTCCTGTTGCGCCTCCGCCAACTTGAGCTTCGACAGCTGCTCCTCTTGCAGCAGAAAGTGCTGCATGAAGAGGCGAATGCTTTGCTTGAACTGCTGCAGCTTGGAGTTCTTGGCAATGCGCTCGAACGCCTGCTGCAGCTCACGCTCATCGCTGGACAGTAGCAGCTTCACCATGATCTCGCGCATAAAGTAAAAGCTAAGCCTCTCCAGCTGCATAAAGTCCACCACTTTGAGCACAGACAACTGCAGGCCCGCGGACAGAATCAGTTGCTGTAGGAAGCTCGCCAGATTGCGGATCTGTGGCTTCGATAGCGATTCAATGTCGTTGATGCGATCCCAGGCGGCAAACTGGAAAGCCAGCTGATACTTTCGATTGTACTGACAGAATTTGAGGGCCAAGTGCGCGTAGTAGGGATTCGCTCGGCGTTCGTTGAGGGCACAATGTATGATCACATAGGCCACCGCACGCTGATCCTTTAGCGACAGATGCAGAATCTTCTCGAAGGCATCCACATAGTCGGCGGCACTCATGATGATGCAAAAGATATTGCGCCGCTCGGCCGTGTTCATTTGCTGCTTTTTGGCCAGCTCCAGCAGTTGATCGGCAAAGCCCGCAGAGGACTGCGACTGCTGGTTCGACTTCTGTTTGGCTGCTGCCGTGCCCATTTCGTTGAGGTTCCCCGTCCAAGCGGAGCCCACAATCCACCACTTGCCCACCTTGTCGGCGCGCAGCAGATCCTCTAAGGTAATGTTGAGCGTCACCACATAGCGATCGTTCTTGAGCATGGCCTTCAGACGCTTGCGCAGACTCTCCGCCAGCTCGGGATCGTATTGGGGCAGCTTGCTCATGTTGTTGTTCTTCACGGCATTCAGTATGTCCACCATGAAGCGCAGGCGGGGATTCTCCTTGAGTTCGAGCGGTGCGGCGGCAATCTTTGCCTGAACATTCTGCATCATGGTCTTGAAGGCCAACGGATCGTCCTTGCGCAGGCGAAAGCCAATCGACTGGAAGATCAGCAGCAGGCACTCGACCGTCTTCTCGCACAAATTGTCGGCGAGGCGGCCAATCAGCTCCATCAGCAGACTCAGCTCGTAGATCTTGAAGATGTACATGTAGCAGAGCAGCAGCACAATGTTGTTCAGCTGCTTGTCCTCCACTGGCCGGCTGGCTAGATCCCTCACATGCCCATCGAAGAGCTCCACAAAGGTCTGTAGAAAGTGTGCGCCAATCTCGCTGCCAATTTGGGCGTGCAAATACGCCAGCAGCACCATATGCTCCTGCACCATGCGCTCCTGCGTGCGTGTCGTGCCGAGCAGCGCCTCCTGCAGCAGCCTCGTGAGCGTTTCGTTCATGTTGTAGCGGGAGTTCTTCATGTAGAGCGCCTCAATGCCAGCGGCAATCTTGTGCAGATTCGCCTCGGACAAGCGATTCAGCAGCCCTTTGCATTGTTTGAGCAGGCGTGCCAGAATTTCGGCCTGCTGTTCGTTGCTGCCAGCACTGGCGGCGGCCATCAGGGCGCGCTGATGCGGCGGTATGTACTTCTGGCCGCCGGCTGAGGCCTCTTGCTCGTTGGGATCGGCCAGAATGTTTCCATCGGCATCGCGTTTGCGGCCATAGATGTCCTCCTTGACTGTGGGAAGGATAAAGAGGGGATTTAATGGGCAGTTTTGGGGAACCCTTGGCGATACTTACATTTGGACGCTGGCTCGTCCTCATCCTCATCCTCTTTATCCGCTTCGCTCTCCTCTGAATCCTCCATGCCGCTATGCTCCTCTGACTCTTCGGATTCACTGTCGCCCTCTGGCATGTCCCTTTCCTCGTCTTCATCCTCGTCACTCCACATGCCCGCCTCTTCCTTCTGCTGCTGCTCCTTCATCTGGCGCTTCCTCTCCTGCTTCTCCTCCCACTTTTGCTTCTCCTCATCATCGTCCAGGCAAAAGTCCAGCAGATAATCCAAGCCATCGTTGAACATCTTGCGGACAAGGCGATTCTTGTCCTTGCTCTTGTTCAGCTTCAGTTTCTTCTCCAGCTTGGCGATCTCCAGGTCCTCCTCCTCGTTGTCCAACTTTAGCTGCTTCACCCGCTGCTTGCGCGACTTGCCCTGCAGCTCCTTCTGCTGGCGCAGCTCACGTTTGCGCACCTCCATCTCATCCTGGCGCTGGATGGCACCGCGCTGCGTCTTTGGCTGCTTTCCCAGCGGCTCGTAGGTCTCCACCTTCCGGCTGTTGGGCAGCAGGGCATCCACTTCGGCATCGCTGAAATCCGAGGCAATCGACTCGTCATCATCCCCGTCCACTTCCCCGGAGAGCAGCTGTTCCAGTGGAATCTCTTCGGGATTCACTTTCGCCTTCTTTCTCTTCTTCTTCTTGCGACCACCTTTCGACGACAGCGCTGCCGCGGCTGCCGCTTCCGCAGCGGCCACGCGCTCTGTACCGTTTGTTTTGCCCGCATGGTAGAGCCGCTTGTGGGTTTTCTTCAACTCCTGCTTCTGTTTGCGCTGCTCCTTGCGCGTGAGACGCTTTTTCATGGGCTCCTTTTTCTTTATTTTAACCATTTTCCCGTGGAATTTCCTCAGAATCACATTTAAAAATTCCGTGGGTGCAATCAGCTGTTTGGGCGTCCAGTGTTGTGGAGCATGCGCGTGCACCTGCACGCTTTATGGCATTATTTAGTGCATTTTTTTGTATAGGTAAATTTGATTTTAATTTGCATTTTATTGAATTAAAAGCAGACAAATCAACATTCAAGCCATGTCCACGCGCTGGTACCCCATCTATCAACGCGGCAATCCCCAGTTGCGGGTTTTCCTGCCCAACTTCTGGATGAAACTGGTGCGGCCGGTGGAGCCGCAGCCGCCCAATGTGGTGACATTTTCGGTGTCCACGGAAATGACGACGCACGATGTGCGGAGCTACCTGGAGAAGATCTACAAGCTGCCAGTGATAGATGTGCGCACACGCATTGCCATGGGCGAGACGAGGCGGGACCAGACCTATGGCTATATCACAAAGAAAGACGATGTGAAATACGCTTATGTAACGCTGGTGGGTGCCACATGCGGCATCTCCGTGGGGCCAGCAGACACACGCTAATTGTTTCTCTTCATCTTGCAGCCCAAAACGGAGGTATTCACCTTTCCCGAGCTGTTCGAAGCGAAGGCCGAGAAGCAGGAGAAGGAGGATAAATCGATGGACGAGTCCAAGGATGGTTTCCGCAAGTTTCTCGATCGCAACAAAAAGCGTCCCGGCACGCCCGGCTGGTACTCCATTTAGACGCATTTCGTTTTAGGCTTAGGATTTAAGCTATTTGTTGTTGTTGTTGCAACGATGAATTAATAAACATTTATTTCGAAAGTCCAAGGAAAAATATTTGATGTAACGTGAAGCTCAGCTCCATTGTTTGTCCACTCGCAACCTTTGGGCTTACTTCTTGGACTCCTTGACAGCGGAGGCGACCCATGCGCGGATTTTGTCCTCGTCCTGGAGTCCAATCATGCGCTTGATCTCCTTGCCATTCTGCATGACCACCAGAACGGGCACCGCGCCCACATCGTAGTCGAGGGCCAGCTCGCTGTGCTCATCGATGTCAACTTTGGCCAGTTTAATGGAGCCTGCATTTTCGCCCACAATATTCTCAATGCGCGGCGTCAGCAGCTTGCAGGGATTGCACCAGCTTGGGGAGGGGGCGGAAAGAGGAGACTTTAGATTTATGGCACTGCGAAATGAAATCCAATCCCCATCCCATCCCACACACTCACGTTGCGAAAAAGTCCACAATCACCGGAGTCTGGCTGTTCTTCACCTTTTTGTCGAAATCCTCGGCACTCTGCACTTTAAATATCTCCCGCTGCTGCGACGACACGGACAGTGGACGTCGCATCTGCTGTCCATGGATGAGTTGACGCGTGCTGCGTCCCAGGCTGTTTACCAATTGGCGCTGCATGTTTTTCTTTTTGGAGCAGAAATGTTACGAGAATTGATTGCCAAATGACAAAAACAACAGCGGCCAGCTGATTGGCGTGGCGTTGCCACAGAGTTTGTTTTTGGTAGGTGTGTGCACACTGCAGCAATAGAGATGAGCGTACAAGTTGTTGTTGTTGTCAAATTCACGGTGTAATCATTTTATGTGAATAATTTTGAATTTTTAAGTCAATTTTAGTAAATTTAGATAATTATTAAACATGTCATAGTTTCCTGTCTCATATGACAGTTTGCAAGTGACGTTTGATTTGACATCAAATTAACAACCTTCTTGATGTTATTTGTTTGTAAGTGAAATATTTGCCAGGCACTTAAATTATTCACTCGTATCACTGTTTGCCAAAGCGTGACTTTATGCGCATCTCTAATTTTAGGATTTTTCTCTAAATTCAAAAGTGTGCACACACCCGCTCAGTGGCTCTCAGTGGCAGCCACTTCTTTTTTTGTGAAATATTTTTGTTTGTCGTAATATTCGGAGAACCATTGCGTTTTCAACTAAATTCAGGTATCAGTTCCGCTCTTAGAGCCTCTCGTCGGTCAGGTGACCGCCGCCACTACCAAGTGAAACAGTAGCCACCAAAAATTAGCTGCGCAAAACTAAACACACACAACCAATCCAATCCACTCCAACGCAACGCAACGTCGTCGTCGTCCAATTAGCGGAGCGGACCCCTCGTTAAAACTGCGCTGTGCAAATGGCCGTTGGCACTTGTCGGACGGGGGAATATACTAGACACTAGGATAAACGATGGACGATCTGTCGCAGGGCGACATATGTCGCGTGTGCCGCTGCGAGGCGCAGCCGGATCGGCCGCTCTTCTATCCATGCATCTGCACGGGCAGCATCAAGTACATCCACCAGGACTGCCTGATGCAGTGGATGCGCTACTCGCACAAGGAGTACTGCGAGCTGTGCGGCCATCGGTTCAGCTTTCAGCCCATCTATGCCCCGGATATGCCGCGCGTGCTGCCCGTCAAGGATGTGCTGGTGGGTCTGATGTCCGCCGTGCTGGAGGGCGCCCGCTGCTGGCTCCACTACTCGCTGGTGGGGCTCGCCTGGTTCGGACTGGTGCCGCTCTCCGCCTACCGCACCTATCGCTATCTGTTCCGGGCCAACTCCTTTGACATGATCCTCTCGCTGCCGTTCGACATCTTCTCCATGGACAATCTGCCGTCGGATGCGTTTCGTGGCTGCTTCGTCGTCACCTGCACGCTGCTCTCCTTCATTGGCCTCGTCTGGCTGCGGGAGCAGATCCTGCATGGCGGCGGACCCGATTGGCTGGAACGCGACGATGCCCCAGCGGCCGCTCAACCCGCTGCTGCTGCTGCTGCGGCGGCCGCTCCAGCTCAGGCGGCAGCCGCTCCGGCCGATGCGGCAGCGGCAGCGGCTGCTGCTGCCGCCGCCCAGGATGACAACAACAATGGAGAGGCGCCGCAGGATGTGCCCATGGACAATGCAGCACCCGCTCCGGCGGATAACGAAGGCGATGCCCACGGCGCAGCCGGAGATCCGGCAAATGCAGCTGCAGCTGCAGCTGCCGCCGGGAATGCGGGCGAAGCCGAGGCCGATGAACAGAACTGGAACCCCATGGAGTGGGATCGGGCAGCCGAGGAGCTCACCTGGGAGCGCCTGCTGGGACTGGACGGGTCGCTGGTGTTTCTGGAGCACGTCTTCTGGATCATTTCGCTCAACACGATGTTCATCTTTACGTTCGCCTTCTGTCCGTATTGCGTGGGCAACTTCATACTGAGCTCGATGGACCTGCTGCAGCCGGAGAAGCCACTGCTGCACTTCCATGGCCTGATCACGACCCTCTTTGGCTACTGCTGCATCGGTCTGACGCTGGTGGTGCTGCACTTTCTGGCCCGCATCTTTCGCATGCGTCGCGTCTGCTGGTTCATCGGCCTCTGCTACATTGTGGTGAAGGTCTCGCTGCTCTCTGTGGTGGAGATTGGCGTGCTGCCGCTCGTCTGTGGCTGGTGGCTGGACATTTGCTCGCTGCCACTGCTCGATGCCAGCCTAAAGGATCGCAAGGCGAGCTTCAAGGCGGCACCGGGCACCTCACTCTTCATCCACTGGATGTTTGGCATGGTCTATGTCTACTACTTTGCCGCGTTCATCTCGCTGCTGCGCGAGGTGCTGCGTCCGGGCGTCCTCTGGATCTTTCGCAATGTCAACGATCCCGATTTCAGTCCCATTCAGGAGATGATCCATGTGCCCATTGTGCGGCACATTCGTCGCCTGGTGGCCTCCGCCATGATCTTTGGCTTTGCTGTCCTGCTGATGCTCTGGCTGCCCATTCGCATTTTACAGGTGGCCTGGCCCAATTTCCTGCCCTATGCCCTGAGTGGAGATGCGGAGGTCAATGATTTGAGTCTACAGCTGTTGCTGCTGCAGGTGAGTCCGCTCCGCATCCCCCCCTCTTAGAATGCCATTTAATCCCCTGTCTCTGTCTGTATTATAGATTGTCCTGCCCGGATTCTTTGAGCAAACCCAAACGCGCATCTGGATGAAGGGTGTGCTGCGCATCTGGTGCACGGCCGTGTCCTGGCTTTTGGGCATACGCAGCTACCTCTTGCCGGCTCCGGAGCCCGAGCCGCCAGCCGCTGCCGAAGGCGAGGGCGAGGGCGTGGATGGGGCGGCCGTCGAGAATGCCAATCCGCATGTGGTCCCGCCACAGGCACCACCACCACCGCCGCCGCCGCCACCTGTGGATCCGTTCCCCATACATCTGCCGCGAAATCTGGCCGCCGCCCATCAGGCGATCATGCAGCGGGACGCCCCGGTGGGCTTCCAGCCGTACGAGAAGCCCACTCTCTTCGCCTTCCGCCTGTGCGCGCTGCTGACGCTGATGTGCCTGTCGATTGTCTGCGCCGCCATACTGACTCTGACGGTGCCCGTGTACATTGGCCGCCGCCTGATGGTGCTCTGGACGGGCCAGCCGGGCGAGAAGGCAGCTGCTGCTGCTGCTGCTGCACCGCCCGCGGGAGAAGGCGGCGCCGCACTGCCCGTTGTCGACGCGGAGGCGGCCAGGAAGAACGAGCGACTGCTGCGCGCCCACGAGCTGTACACCGCGGAGATTGGCGGCTACCTTTGCTGGATTGTGCTGCGAGGAGTGGCCGTGGTGGCCACCCTGCTGCCCCAGGGACGCACCGCGATTGTGAACAAACTGAAGCAGTGGGCCACCGTCACGCTGCAGTATGCCCTGCCCGTGATCACGCTGGTGGGCATTTTCGTGCTCGTTCCCCTGCTCTTCGGACTGCTGCTGGAGCTGGTGGTGGTGATACCGCTGCGCGTGCCACTGCGCAAGACGCCGATACACTTCCTGTGGCAGGACTGGGCGCTGGGCATGCTCTACACCAAGATAGCCATTGCTCTGACCCTCATGGGGCCCGAGTGGCATCTGCGGCGTGCCCTGGAGCGCGCCTACACGGACGGACTGCGAGATTTCGACCTGAAGTTCGTGATGCGCGACCTGGCCGTGCCGGTGGTGACAACCTTTGGCCTGGCCCTGGCCATACCCTATGTGATGGCGCAGATGGTGCTGCCCATGTTCTTTGTGGATCGCTATACGCGCCAGTACATCTATCGGCTGGTCTATCCCGTCAGCTTTGTCGTCGTGGGCACCATCTGTTTCGTTCTCTTCCAGATCAAGCAACTCAAGAAGCTCTATCTGTCGATCAAGGTGGACAAATACCTGGTGGGGCAGCGGCTGGTCAACTACGAGAATCGCAAGAAGCAGCAACAGCAGCAGCAGGAGGAGGAGCAGAAGGCGCGCGAGCTCAAGGAGCGCAGGGACAAGGAAAAGGAGCTGGTGGCGAACATACTGGGTGTGGATATGGCTGGTGTGCCCGAGGAGTATGCCGATCTGTACGGTGGCATTGACGAGGAGCCCGATCAGGCGGGCGTCTTTGCACGCATGCGGAGGCGCGATCAACTGCCACGCCCCGCACCGCTCGCCGATGCCAACGAGGAGCTGCTCTAATGAAGCGCCGCCGCGCTGTGTATATCTCACCAAGAGGCAGAAGAAGACGACGAAAGATCTGACAAGCAAATCTTCAATTGAAATATACGACAAATTTCCCTTTAATTTCCTGCTTTGCGTTCCAAGCCCCCCGCGCCGCACACGTTTTTTTTTCGGTTTAGTTAAACTTTCGTTATGGTTAGATTTTTATGTGTTAGCTGCAATTGTTGTTGAACCCGAGACTCGAGACTCTAGGAAGGGTCTAGGAAGGGTCTTCCCCCACCCCCCCATTGACCGTGTGTCGCTTCTAGAACCTAAGTTGTATCATACTTTAAGACATACAAGAAAGAAAAAGAAAAGAAGAAGAAAAGAAACACCTATGCATCTATTCCACTAGAGACTCCATTTTTTATAAGTAGCTAACCCCCGACATATATAGTGTAGAGTATGGCAACGCATATGGCCCCTCCCCACAACACCCATCTGGCGAAATTTCCCTTTCGAGAACCGAAACCAAAACCAAATTCAAAATAGAACAAACAAATTTAGGAAAAGAAAACGAAACATACAAAATATACCTTTAAAACAAAAAATTAATAAAAACGAACCTTTTCGAGCTAGCTTTACGAACTTGTAAAAATTATATATGTATACATAATAAATATAAATGATTTAAAATTAATTAATAAATTTAAATTTAAACTTCAACAAACAACAAAAAACGACTGTACAAGTTGGGTATGCTGTGCTGGGCTGAGGAGCCAAAAATAGAAGGTTTAACAATTAAAGGAAATTAGTAGGAAACGCCGAAAAAGGGAACCCCACTTGAAAAGACCAAAAGAGTCTGTGAAAAAGTCTTAAGAACCAGACGAAAAGAGAAAGAGAGAGCGACGAGTGGGTGAGGAAGTAATGGCAAAAAAGGGAAACAAAGGCAGAGGTAAGGCAAAGGGTAAAGCAGGGACCCGCACTCCACATAATCTTTATAAGCTGCCTAAAAAGAAAACAGAAAATAAAGTGTAAGTATAATTAATTTGATTTCCATTCCTCGCATCGTTCTGGCTTTTTAATGATCTCGTTTTTTATTGCCTCAAGGGGATTGCCAAACTCCACCGAAATTGCGTGATAAAAATCACTCCGACAAAAGGATTCCAATTAGAGCCATAAAAAACAAACAAAATTCAATGGTAATTGGAGTTGTTTTCTAATACCCGCTCTCTGGGAATACAAATATAAACTTCTAAGTTCGTTAAATATAAAATACAAATATATAAGAATAAAAATAAAAAATATAAAAATTTAAAATTGAAAAAAAACTTTTCAAAATTTTCAATTTTTATATTTTTTATTCTTATTCTTATTATTCTTAATGGGATCTGAAAAGAGAAAAATCGACAGCCCTGTTTTCGCTTTATGCGGTTTTGGTGGGTTTCTGTGTGGGTGTGTGCGATGCAAGGCTAGTACAGTCCGTCCTCCCTTTGCCTAACACTCTCTCCTATCCTCTCCTTGCCTATCCACGGCACATCAAAACAAACGCATGGTTTTGGTTTATAATTGGATTTTGATTCGTTTTGCATAAAAAGTGTGCTTATATTCCAGACGCCAGAATGATTATTCGACATGTGTGCGTGTGTGTGTGTGCGTGTGTGTCTGTGTGTTGTGTGGCTTCCAGAGGCGCCACCAGGTCCCTGACGCTCCAGTTGCCAACCGAAAAAATAGCCACAACAGCAATGACACTTAAATATATTTGCCGCTGCGATGCTGCAAATAATTTGACTGCATTTTCCATTTATTATACCCTTTCGAAACTATAATATTATTTGGTGTGGAGTGGCTTGGCAAGGAAGAAAAGAAAGCATATGCGACCCAAAGGATCGGTATATCATTCTCCAATTAATATCTAGGTAAAAGTCTTTGAAAGCAGAAACCTCAGAGGAGAACAGTGAAGAAGTCTAAAATGGCTGCCATAGCGAGCGACCAATTCGAAAGAGTATCAAGGCGGCGACTTGACTCTCTTTGTGTGTGAATTTATTCTGTTGTGTTGGGAGTGTATTAGTGGGAGTGGCGGCGCCTCCCATGTGGTGCATTTATCGCCACACAAAACAAACCATATTTTGGCAATTTACATATTGAATTTGCGTACATACACACGTACATACATACATATATGCAGCTTCATTTAATTGGGAAACAGGATTTTATATTTTGGTTTTATTGGTTTTTTTTTTTTATTATTTTTGGTTTTAACAATTATCAAAAAAGTAACGAAAATAATTATTAAACCTAATGTTACCTTTTTTAAAGGTCTAGGAACAATTTCTCTTAACCACTTGCCCCTGTTTTTTAAGCAAACAAAACTCTCCTCCTCTCCGGACACCGATTATGGGGACAATGTTAAGAAATGATTTCCCAGGAACCCGGAACAAGTGGCTCGTAAGTTGAGGTTAATCTCTACCATCTTTTTGGCCCTTTTTCCACACAGCCAGCAGCTACTAAATTTATACCACCCACTGTGCACACCACACCCCCGCGCAGTGTGTCCCACTGTGACCATCCAACCGGACAATGTCCGGCGAACACACCTCAGAGAAGCAGCCGTAAAGCCGTAGTGGAGAGTCGTCGAGAGAAGAGCTCGAGAGCTCGAGAACTCGTCCGAGGCATATTTAATTTTTTAGCACAGTCGCTCCCCACCCGGAGTTCTGGCGCCGACATGCGTGCTTTATTGGCCATAATCGTAGGAGGACAGGATCCAGACGGAGGGCCAGGACCAAGGGCACTTAGCACTCCTTAAGTTTTACAACTTTACGCTCAATCAGGCGCCCCGTCAGTGGCACAGTTGGCCATAAAAAAAGTAACAGCTCCTCGAACTTCAAACTTTAACCCCAACCAGCGGCAGGCAGGCAGGCAGGCAGGAAGGGGCGCGCACCCCAGGAGGCGCTGAAAGAACTCGAATGCGTTGGTCTTTAAAGTGTGTGAAGACTGTCTATTGTTGTTGTTGTTCTTGTGTTTGACAGGCAACAAAAAATAACCCAACAGAGGGAACTCGCCCAAGAGGTTAAAAACCCAAAAGAGAAATAAATACAATGGGGATCCTATTTTGGGCGGCGGAAGTTTTTTTTTTTGTTTTTGCGCTGAGCTTGGCTAAAAGGATTTCCTTATACAAATTAGGGGTATATTAGTGAAGGCAAAAGGCTTGTCATAGCAGTAGAATAAGAGAATTTTCATGACTTTATGCTTCGAATGCGTTTACAGATGTCTTTTGGCGCAAATATTTCACCCCAGAAAGTTAAGGAATAGCATTCAGCTGCATGTTAAAACTATCTACGTTCTAAGTTCTTCGATACCATAATAAAATATATTTTTTTTGCATTAATTAAAGGCCGAAAGGAAAGTTGGAAGTTCTCCTCAAAAATATCATAAAATTCTTTTATTTCCAAAGAGCATTCACAGCTCATCCTGAGACCCCATTCCTCAGATTCGTCTTGCACCTACATATTTGTTTTGTATTTTTATTTTTTTATTTTTGTTGTTTTGTATTTTTCTGAGGTTTTTTTGCTATTTGGTTTGTTTTGTTTTGTTTTTAGGACTCGCCCAGTTTCGGTTTCCGTTCTCTCCCCATCTACCATCTCCCTGGGCAATGGCTTTTATACAAATTATTTTATTTTGCGTCCGGATAATAATAAATTATGGCAACGGAAATCAAAAGGCAACTCCACAAAGGGAGGGGCCACAGAAACAACAGACATATTTAGTCTGTTTCTGTTTTCTGATTTTGGTACCACTCTCGCACCCCCCCAAGCATTAGGATGCGAATGCTGATGGGGATGGTGATGGAGGTTGCCATGGTGGAGCGAAGAAGTAGGTGGGGGGGGGTTGTACTACTATAATAGAGCATAACGAGCTTAAGAGAGGGTGTCAGGGCCTGCTGGCAGGTTGCTACACTCTTGAGAGATTGTTGCAGCAGAGCGGTTTTGTTTTCGCAGTTTGCTTTTGTTTATGGCTAATTTTAGACAATTTATGGAGTGTTGGTTGCCGCTTGATAAGAGCTTCAAGCGGAAAGCAGCACACACCAGCACCAGCACCAGCAATTCATGCAAATGAGCTTCGCTTAAAGCCCAAGTCCCTCACTCCCTCGTGTGTGGCACGAGTGATAAAGCTGCGACACAATGGGGGGATACACTTTTTATGCGAGGTGTGTGTGTGGCATGGGGCATGAAGATATCACTGCTGACATATGAAGTTGTTAATTTTCACAACAACAAAAAGTGCTGGGAAAATGGTAAAAATGAGAAGCATAAAGAATGCTTTTGGATGTTGACAAGAGTCTGTGGTTTACACATGGCAAGGACTCTGCCCGACTCTCTTTATTATTTGCTTAATGCGTAAAAACAACTTTCGGCTTAACTCCAGTCTCCAGATTTATTTAATGTTCCCCAGGGGGCCCTGCCTATCCACGGAAATGGGACGGATCCCCAAGGATTTGTTAACATTTATTAAAATGAGAAAGTTAATTAAAGCACATGTGCGAAGAGAATTTGTAATACAACAAATCTAAGGGATTTCTAATTGAAATTTAAATTTAATTTAAATCAGCCACAAATATTTGCTTAATGGAATTAAATATTGCATATTATTTTTAAAAAGAAAATCAAAGTAGAATTTACAATTAAATTCTTAATAAATGGATGTCCCGAAATACATTATGCTGTCTGCCATTTTGTTTCCAAAGAAAACTTAATAGGGAAAACAACTTTAAGCTGAAAATCCGCTTATGTCTCTCGGGAAATGGTCATCAGAGTTTGTTGTAATATATGATGTTTTTATAGTTGTCTAATGGAGCAATAAAATTGCATTCTGTGGAAGCTTGTCAATGAGGAATTTTTGCTGACAATTATGTGAGGTTATATTTATGGTGCCAGGACAGCAGCCAGTCCAGGACTCACTCAAGGAGCGGCTGATATGACTGCCTGTAAGTAAATTCATATTCACATAGCTTGAAATCCAATTAAAACTATTTACCCGAGCAGCTTAATGAACTTTGTTTACGTTGAGCAATTTTCCATCATCAGGCATTCCCTTTGCACTGGGCATTCGATCTACCATTTCGAATTATTTGCATTTAAGATTTTCGTTCAATGAACTTTCAACAAAGTTCTAAATGTTAGAAATCTCGGCACTATCCCCTCGCAGCCCCCTTGGTGTGGGGTGGTCACTCCAACACGCGCCCAAAAGTTTTCAATTTCCAGCGTAATACTTGAGCACGCGCATTGCTTTTGGGAAAACCGAGAACAGAAATGTTTTAGGCCATTTTCAACTTTGACATAATGTAAAAATTATATGATTTTCATTTCATTAT